ATTCCTGGAGCTCTGAGGGGGTTTGGGAATTCCTGGAGTTCTGGGGGGGTTTGGGGATGGGAATTCCGCCGGAATTCCGGGAATTCCCAGAGTTCTGGGAGGGTTGGGAATTCCTGGGGGTTGGGAAGGGTTTGGGGATGGGAATTTCCTGGGAATTCCCAGATTTCCCAGATTTCCCCCAGAATTCCCAGATTTTCCTATGTTTTTCCCAGAATTCCAGAATTTTCCCCCCCAAATTTCCTCCAGAATTCCCAGATTTCTCCCCAGAATTCCCAGATTTTCCCCAGAATTCCCAGAATTCCCAGAATTCTCCCCAGAATTCCCAGAATTCCCAGATTTCCCCCAGAATTCCCAGATTTCCCCCCAGAATTCCCCAGAATTCCCAAATTTTTCCCGTTTTTCCCAGCTGCCGTTCCCATTCCGGGCCCTGATCCTGTTTTCCATGGGTTCCGTTATCCGGAGCCATCTCCAGGATCTCGGGAAGGGCTCGGCCGCCGCCGCCGCCGCTTTGGCCGCTCGCGAGATGACCCGAGCCAAGGTGGGACAGGGAATTCCCGGGAATTCCCAGAAATTCCTGGAATTCCGGGGGGAGTTTGGGGGATTTGGGGGAATTTTTGGGGAATTTTTTGGGGATTTTTTGGGATTGTTTTGGATTTTTGGGGAATTTTGGGGGGATTTTTTGGGGGGATTTTTTGGGGGAATTTTTGGGGATTTTTGGGGAATTTTTGGGAATTTTGGGAAATTTTTTGGGAAATTTTTTGGGAATTTTGGGGTAATTGTGGGGAATTTGGGGGAATTTTTTTGGGATTTTTTGGGGAATTTTTGGGGATTTTTTCGGGAATTTTTGGGAATTTTGGGGAATTTTTTGGGAAATTTTTTGGGAATTTTGGGGGAATTTGGGGGAATTTTTTGGGGATTTTTTTGGGAATTTTTGGTGATTTTTTGGGGAGGTTTTTTGGGGATTTTTTGGGATTGTTTTGGATTTTTGGGGAATTTGGGAGGATTTTTTGGGGATTTTTTTGGAATTTTTGGGAATTTTTTGGATTGTTTTGGATTTTCGGGGAATTTTTGGGGGATTTTTTGGGAATTTTTTGGGAAATTTTGGGGTATTTGGGGACATTTTGGGGAATTTGGGGGATTTTTTTAGGAATTTTTTGGGATTTTTTTGGATTGTTTTGGATTTTTGGTGAATTTTTGAGAATTTTTGGGAATTTTTTTGGAAATTTTGGGATATTTGGAGTAATTTTGGGGAATTTGGGGGAATTTTTTTGGGATTTTTTGGGGAATTTTTGGGGATTTTTTGGGGGGGGTTTTTTGGGGATTTTTTGGGATTGTTTTGGATTTTTGGGGAATTTTTTTGGGATTTTTTGGGAATTTTTGGATTGCTTTGGATTTGGGGGGAATTTTTTGGGGATATTTTTTGGAATTCTTTGGGAAATTTTGGGGTATTTGGGGTCATTTTGGGGAATTTGGGGGAATTTTTTCAGGAATTTTTTGGGATTTTTGGGGGATTTTTTTTAATTTTTGTGGAATTTTTGGGAATCTTTTTGGATTTTGGGGGGATTTTTGTGGAATTTTTTTAGGAATTTTTTGGGATTATTTTTGATTGTTTTGGATCTTTTGGGAATTTTTGGGGATTTTTGGGGAATTTTTGAGAATTTTTGGGAATTTTTGGGAAATTTTGGGATATTTGGGGGAATTTTGGGGAATTTGGGGGAATTTTTTTGGGATTTTTTGGGGAATTTTTGGGGATTTTTGGGGGGGGTTGGGGATTTTTTGGGATTGTTTTGGATTTTTGGGGAATTTTTTTGGGATTTTTTTGGGAATTTTTATGGGAATTTGAAGGAATTTGGGGGAATTTTTATGGGAGTTTTTATGGGAATTTTTATGGGAATTTTTATTGGAATTTTGAGGAATTTTTATTGAAATTTCAAGGAATTTGGGGGAATTTTAAGGAATTTTATGGGAATTTTTATGGGAATTTTATGGGAATTTTTATGGGTATTTCAAGGAGTTTTATGGGAATTTTATGTGAATTTTTATGGGAATTTTTATGGGAATTTTAAGGAATTATATGGGAATTTTATGGGAATTTTTTTGGGAATTTTTATGGAAATTTTAAGGAATTTGGGGGAATTTTTACGGGAATTTTTATGGGAAAGTTCTGGTGGATTTTAGGAATTTTTATGGGAATTCTAAAGAATTTTATGGGAATTTTTATGGGAATTTTTATGGGAATTTTTATGGGAATTTTTATGGGAATTTTTAGGAATTTGGGGGAATTTTATAGGAATTTTTATGGGAAAGTTCTGGTGGATTTTAGGAATTTTTACAGGAATTTTTATGGGAATTTTAAGGAATTTGGGGGAATTTTATGGGAATTTTATGGGAATTTTTATGGGAGTTTTTATGGGAATTTTTATGGGAATTTTTATGGGAATTTTAAGGAATTTTATGGGAATTTTATGGGAATTTTTATGGGAATTTTAAGGATTTTTGGGGGATTTTTACGGGAATTTTTATGGGAATTTATGGGAATTTCCGAGTTTTTTCCCGCTGGGAATTTTCCATCCGGAATTCCCGCTCGGAAGCGAAATTCCCGGGATTTTGCAGGAGGAAATCTGGGAATGGCAGGAAGCCGCCAGCCAGGTCCTGGTGGAGCTCGGGAAGAAATTCCTGAATAAAGTCATGGAAGAGGTGCTGGGAAAATTCCAGCCGGGAATTCTGCCCCATCCCGCCGTGCTCCGAACCTTCGGGAACCTCGCCGCGGCCAACGGTCAGCCGGGATTCCCGGGATTCTGGGGGATTCCCGGGATTCTGGGGGGATTCTGGGAATTTTGGGGGATTCTGGGAATTCTGGGGGAATTCTGAGGGGATTCTGGGAATTTTGGGAATTTTTTGGGATTTTTTTGGGAATTTTTTTGGGAATTCTGGGGGAATTCTGGGAATTCTGGGAATTCTGGGGGAATTCTGGGGGAATTCTGAGGGGATTCTGGGAATTCGGGGGAATTTTTTTGGGATTTTTTTGGGATTTTTTTGGGATTTTTTGGGGAATTCTGGGGGAATTCTGGGGGAATTCGGAGGGGATTCTGGGAATTTTGGGAATTTTTTGGGGATTTTTCTGGGATTTTTTTGGGAATTCTGGGGGGATTCAGGGGGGATTCTGGGAATTCTGGAGGAATTCTGGGAAATTCTGGGAATTCTGGGGGAATTCTGGGGGATTCTGGGAATTCTGGAGGATTCTGGGGATTCTGGGAATTCTGGGGGATTCTGGGGGGATTCTGGGAATTTTGGGAATTTTTTGGGGATTTTTTTGGGGTTTTTTTTGGAAATTCTGGGGGAATTCTGGGGAATTCTGGGGGAATTCTGGGAATTCTGGGGGAATTCTGAGGGGATTCTGGGAATTTTGGGAATTTTTTGGGATTTTTTTGGGAATTTTTTTGGGAATTCTGGGGAATTCTGGGGGAATTCTGGGAATTCTGGGGGATTCTGGGGGAATTCTGAGGGGATTCTGGGAATTCTGGGGATTTTGAGGATTTTTTTGGGGATTTTTTGGGGTTTTTTTTTGGGAATTCTGGGAATTCTGGGGGAATTCTGGGAATTCTGGGGGATTCTGGGGGAATTCTGAGGGGATTCTGGGAATTCTGGGGATTTTGAGGATTTTTTTGGGGATTTTTTGGGGATTTTTTTGGGAATTCTGGGGGAATTCTGGGAATTCTGGGAATTCTGGGGGAATTCTGGGGGAATTCTGAGGGGATTCTGGGAATTCGGGGGAATTTTTTTGGGATTTTTTTGGGATTTTTTTGGGATTTTTTTGGGAATTCTGGGGGAATTCTGGGGGAATTCGGAGGGGATTCTGGGAATTTTGGGAATTTTTTGGGGATTTTTTTGGGAATTCTGGGGGATTCTGGGAATTCTGGAGGATTCTGGGGGAATTCTGGGAATTTTGGGGGAATTCTGGGGCAATTCTGGGGGAATTCTGAGGGATTCTGGGAATTCTGGGGGAATTTTGGGGGAATTTGGGGAATTCTGGGGGGATTCTGGGAATTCTGGGGGATTCTGGGGGAATTCTGGGGAATTCTGGGGGAATTCTGGGGGAATTCTGGGAATTCTGAGGGAATTCGGGGAATTCTGGGGGAATTCTGCGGATTTTGGGGATTTTTTGGGGTTTTTTTTGGGAATTCTGGGGAATTCTGGGGAATATCTAGGGGAATTCTGGGAATTCTGGGGGAATTCTAGGAATTTTGGGGGAATTCTGGGGATTCTGGGGGGATTCTGGGGGAATTTTTGGGAATTCTTGGGATTTCTGTGGAAATACTGGGAAATTCTTGGGAATATCGGGGAATTCTTGGGAAATTCCTGGGAATTCCAGGAAATTCTTGAGAATCCTCGGGAATTCCAGGAAATGCTCAGCAATGGGGCTGGAATTGGGGCCGGAATTCTGGGAATTGGGGTCAGAATTCTGGGAATTGAGGCTGAAATTCCGGGAATTTGGGTTGGAATTCCAGGAATTTGGGCTGGAATTCTGGGAATTGAGGTTGGAATTCTGGGAATTTGGGCTGGAATTTTGGGATTGAGGCTGAAATTCTGGGAGTTTGGGATGGAATTCTGGGAATTTGGGCTGGAATTTTGGGAATTTGGGCCACAATCCTGGGAAATTTGGCTGGATTTGGGATTTGGGCCAGAATTTTGGGATTAAGGCTGGAATTCTGGGAATTTTGGCCGGAATATTGGGAATTTGGGCAGGAATTTTGGGAATTGGGGTTGGAATTTTGGGAATTTGGGCTGGAATTGGGGCCAGAATTTCAGGAATTTGGGCTGGAATTTTGGGATTAAAGCTGAAATTCTGGGAGTTTTGTCCAGAATTTTGGGAATTTGGTCTGAAATTCTGGGAATTTGGGCCAGAATTTCAGGAATTTGAGCTGGATTTGGGATTGGGGTTGAAATTCTGGGGATTTGGGTTGGAATTCCTGGAATTTGGGTTGGAATTCTGGGAGTTTGGGCTGGAATATTGGGAATTTGGGCTGAAATTTTGGGAATTGGTGTTGGAATTTTGGGAATTTGAGTTGGAATTTGGAAATTGGGGCCAGAATTCTGGAATTTGGGCTGAAATTCTGGGAATTGAAGGCAGAATCCCGGGAATTTGGGCCGGATTTTTGGGAATCGGAGGCAGAATTCCACCGGGAATATTTTGCCATGACCTTTTCCCGTTTTTTTTCCCAAGTTTTCGGGATGGTTCCGTTCCTGAATTCCATCCTGGGGACGCTGCTGCCCATGCTGGGAATGGCCCGGGCGGATTCCATGAAATGCACGCTCTGCTTCGGTAACCATTCCCAAAAAAAAACCCGGGAAAAGGCGGGATCCGGGAATTCTGGGATCGGGGAATTCCGGGAACGGCTCGGAGAGCGACGGGGAAAATTTATGGAGAGGTTTTGGGAAAGTTTGGGAATTTTGGGGGATTTTTTTGGGATTTTTTTTTGAATTTTTCATTTGATTTTTGGGGAATTTTTCATGGAATTTTTTTGGGAAAGGTTTGGGAAAATTTGGGAATTTCTTTGTAATTTTTTGTAGGTTTTTTTTGTATATTTTTCTGTTTTTTTAAAAATTTTTTGTTTAATTTTTTTGTAATTTTTTTGTAATTTTTTTGAAATTTTTTCGAAATTTTTTTGAAATTTTTTCGAAATTTTTTTTGGTTTTGGGGGGAATTTTCTTGGGATTTTTTTTCAATTTTTCATTTGATTTTTGGGATTTTTTGATGTAATATTTGGGAATTTTATTGATAGAGATTTGGGAAAATTTGGGAATTTTTTTTGGAATTTTTTTTAGATTTTTTAAAAAATTTTTGTTTATTTTTTTAGGATTTTTTTAGAATTTTTTTAGAAATTTTTTATATGTTTTTGGATTTTTTGTTTAACTTTTTGGAACTTTTTGGGATTTTTTTTTTATTTTTCTTGCATTTTTTTGAATTTTTTTATTTAATTTTCTTTTATATTTTTTGGTAAGTTTTTGGGAATTTTATTGGAATATTTTTGGAATTTTTAGAATTTTTAAGGGAATTTTCTTGGGATTTTTTTTCAATTTTTCATTTGATTTTTGGGATTTTTTTAATGTAATTTTCAGGAATTTTATTGAGAGAGATTTGGGAAAATTTGGGAATTTTTTTTGGAATTTTTTTTAGATTTTTTAAAAAATTTTTGTTTATTTTTTTTAGGATTTTTTTAGAATTTTATTAGAAATTTTTTATATGTTTTTGGAATTTTTTGTTTAATTTTTTGGAACTTTTTGGGACTTTTTTAATTTTTCTGGCATTTTTTTGAATTTTTTTATTTAATTTGTTTTTATATTTTTTGGTAAGTGTTTGGGAATTTTATTGGAATTTTATTGGAATATTTTTGGAATTTTTTTTATTTTTGGGGGAATTTTCTTGGGATTTTTTTTCAATTTTTCATTCAATTTTTGGGATTTTTTTAATGTAATTTTCAGGAATTTTATTGGGAGAGATTTGGGAAAGTTTGGGAATTTTTTTGGGAGTTTTTTTGGATTTTTTAAAAAATTTTTTTTGTTTAATCTTTGGAACTTTTTGGGAATTTTATTAGAATTTTTTTATATATTTTTGGGTTTTTTGTTTAATTTTTTGGAACTTTTTAGGATTTTTTTTCTGGATTTTTAAAAAATTTTCTTCTTTAATATTTTGGAATTTTTTTGGGAAGTGTTTGGGAATTTTTTAGGAAGTTTTTGGAATTTTTAGAATTTTTGGGGGAATTTTCTTGGGATTTTTTTCAATTTTTCATTTGATTTTAGGGATTTTTTAAGGAATTTTTGGGAATTTTATTGGGAGAGGTTTGGGAAAGTTTGGGAATTTTTTTGGGAATTTTTTTGGAATTTTTCATTTCATTTTTTGGAATTTTTTTTGGGAAGTATTTGGGAATTTTATTGGGATTTTTTTGTGAATATTTTTTGAATTTTCTGGGATTTTTAACTTCATTTTTTGGGAATTTTTTGGGGGAAGCATTTGGGAATTTTTTATATTTTTTTATCATTTTTCTAAAAGATTTTTTAAATTTTTTTTTGTAATTTTTTTGGAAATTTTGGGACATTTTGAAAATTGCCATTAAAAAAATTCCAAAAATTCAAAGAAAATTCTAAAAAAATTTTAAAAAAAATCCCCCAAAATCTCCCAAAAATCAGAAAAAAAATCCCAAAAAAATTCCAAAAAAATTATTCAAAATTCAAATAAAATTCCCAAAAAATCCCCCAAAATTCTAAAATATTCCCAAATATTCCTGAATTTTTCCAACCCTTCTCTATTCTTCCTAAATATTCTATGAACTCTAAAAAACTAAAAAAATCCCCAAAAAATTCCTAAAAAATCCCCCAAAAATTCAAAAAAAATTCCTTAAAAAATATGGAAAAAATCCCAAAAAATTCTAAAAAAAATAAAAAAATTCCCCAAAAATTTTCCAATAAATTAAAAAAAAAATCCCCCAAAATTTCCAAAAATCCTCAAGAAACTCCCAAAAAATTCCCCAAAATTCCCCAAAAAATCCCCAAATATTCCTAAAATTTTCCAACTTCCCCAAATATTCCTAAAATTTTCCAACTTTTACCAAACCCCATAAAGTTTCTAAAACCTTGAAAAATTCCATAAAAGTCTCCCAAAAATTCCCAAAAAATTCCTAAAAAAACACCAAAAATAAAAAAAAATCCAAAAAAAATTCCAGAAAAATCCAAAAAATTCCCAAAAATTCCCCAAAAATTCCCAAATATTTCTAAAGTTTCCCAACCCTTTGCAAACCCCATAAAGTTTCTAAAACCCTGAAAAATTCCATAAAAGTCCCAAAAAATTCCCAAAAAAATCCTAAAAAAACCCCCAAAAATTAAAAAAAAATCCCCAAAAAATCCAAAAAAAATCCAAAAAAACCCCCAAAAAATTCCAAAAAAATCCCAAAAATTCCCAAAAATTCCCCCAAATTCCCAACAATTCCTGGGATGTTTTTTCCCAGCTCTGCAGCGTTTCAGCGAGAGCATCCTGGAATATTTGGCGGCTCGGGATCAGGCTCTGCATCAAAATTCCACAAAAAAAATTTAATTAAAAATCAAAAAATTCCTAAAAATTAAAAAGAAAAACCATACCAAAAATTCCCAAAAATTCCAAAAAAATTCCCAAATATTCCTAAAATTTCCCGACCCTTCCCAAATCCCATAAAGTTTCTAAAACCTTGGAAAATTTCATTAAAATTCAAAAAAAAAATACAAAAAAATTCTAAAAAATAGAGAAAAAAAATCCAAAAAATTCCCCCAAAAATTCCCCCAAAAATTCCAAAAAATTCCCAAAAACTTCCCAAAAAATTCCCCAAAAAATCCCAAATAATTCCCAAAAAGTCCCCAAATATTCCTAAAATTTTCCAACTTTTACCAAACCCCATAAAGTTTCTAAAACCTTGAAAAATGCCATAGAAATACCCAAAAAAATCCTAAAAAAAAACCCCCAAAAATCAAAAAAAATTCCAAAAAAAATTCAAAAAAAATCCAAAAAAAATCCAAAAAAAATCCAAAAAAAATCCAAAAAAATTCCAAAAAAATCCCGAAAAATTCCCCAAAAATTCCCAACAATTCCCCCAAATTCCCAACAATTCCTGGGCTGTTTTTTCCCAGCCCTGCAGCGTTTCAGCGAGAGCATCCTGGAATATTTGGCTGCTCAGGGATCAGGCTCTGCATCAAAATTCCACAAAAGAAATTCAATTAAAAATAAAAGAATTCCTAAAAATTAAAAAAAAAACCAAACCAAAAATACCCAAAAATTCCCCCAAAAATTCCCAAATATTCCTAAAATTTCCCAATCCTTTCCAAATCCCGTAAAGTTTCTAAAACTTTGGAAAATTTCATTAAAATACAAAAAAAATTTCCAAAAAAGTCCTAAAAAAATACAGAAAAATTCCAAAAAATTCCCAAAAATTTCGCAAAAATTTCCCCATAAAATCCCCAAAAAATCCCAAATAATTCCCAAAAAATCCCCAAATATTCCTAAAATTTTCCAATCTTTCCCAAGACCCATAGTTTCTAAAACCTTGAAAAGTTCCATAAAAGTCCCCCCAAAATTCCCAAAAAATTCCTAAAAAATAGTTTCTAAAACCTTGAAAAGTTCCATAAAAGTCCCCCCAAAATTCCCAAAAAATTCCTAAAAAACCACCAAAAATCAAAAAAAATCCAAAAAAAATTCCAGAAAAATCCAAAAAATTCCCAAAAAATTCCCAAATATTTCTAAATTTTTCCAATCTTTCCCAAATCCCATAAAGTTTCTAAAACCCTGAAAAATTCCATAAAAGTCCCAAAAAATTCCCAAAAAATTCCTAAAAAAACCCCCCAAAAATCAAAAAAAAAATCCAAAAAAAATCCAAAAAAAAATAAAAAAAAATTCCAAAAAAATTCCAAAAAAAATCCGAAAAATTCCCCAAATTCCCAACAATTCCTGGGATGTTTTTTCCCAGCCCTGCAGCGTTTCAGCGAGAGCATCCTGGAATATTTGGCTGCTCAGGGATCAGGCTCTGCATCAAAATTCCACAAAAAAAATTCAATTAAAAATCAAAAAATTCCTAAAAATTAAAAAAAAAACCCCAAAATTCCCAAAAATTCCCCAAAAATTCCCGAATATTCCTAAAATTTCCCAATCCTTTCCAAATCCCATAAAGTTTCTAAAACCTTGGAAAATTTCATTAAAATAAAAAAAAATTAAAAAAAAATCCTAAAAAATACAGAAAAATTCCCCAAAAAACCCCAAAAATTCCCCCAAAAATTCCCCCCTAAATCCCAAAAAATTCCCAAAAAATCCCCAAATATTCCTAAAATTTTCCAACTTTTATCAAACCCCATAAAGTTTCTAAAACCTTGAAAAATGCCATAGAAATCCAAAAAAAAATCCTAAAAAAACCCCCCAAAAATCAAAAAAAATTCCAAAAAAAATATCCCAAAAAAATCCAAAAAAAATCCAAAAAAAATCCAAAAAAATTCCAAAAAAATCCCAAAAAATTCCCAAAAAATTCCCAAAAATTCCCCCAAATTCCCAACAATTCCTGGGCTGTTTTTTCCCAGCCCTGCAGCGTTTCAGCGAGAGCATCCTGGAATATTTGGCGGCTCGGGATCAGGCTCCGGACCCCACGATCCGCAGGGATGCCTTTGCCCAGGAGCTGGGAGCCGCCTTCGAGCTCCTCTTCCACGCCTGGCTCCCCCACAGAGACGCCAAGGTGGGAATTCCGGGAATGCCGGGAATTCCGGGAATGCCGGGAATGCTGGGAATGCTGGGAATTCCGGGAATGCTGGGAATTCTGGGAATGCTGGGAATGCTGGGAATGGGAATGCTGGGAATGCTGGGAATGCTTGGAATGGGAATGCTGGGAATCCCGGGAATGCTGGGAATGCAGGGAATGGGAATCCCGGGAATTCCGGGAATGCCGGGAATGCCGGGAAAGCTGGGAATGCTGGGAATGGGAATGCTGGGAATGGGAATCCCGGGAATTCTGGGATTTGGGAATGGTGGGATTCAGGAATTCTGGGAATTCTGGGAATGCTGGGAATGCTGGGAATGCTGGGAATGCTGGGAATGGGAATCCTGTGAATTCTGGGAAATCCCAGAATTCCGGGAATGCCGGGAATGCCGGGAATGCTGGGAATGCTGGGAATGCCGGGAATGGGAATTCCGGGAATGCTGGGAATGCTGGGAATTCTGGGAATGCTGGGAATGCTGGGAATGCTGGGAATGCTGGGAATGGGAATCCTGTGAATTCTGGGAAATCCCAGAATTCCGGGAATGCCGGGAATGCCGGGAATGCTGGGAATGCTGGGAATGGGAATGCCGGGAATTCTGGGATTTGGGAATGCTGGGAGTGGGAATTCTGGGATTTGGGAATTCCAGGATTTGGGAATGGCGGGAATGGGAATTCCTGGGATTTGGGAATGGTGGGAATGGGAATTCCAGGAATGGGAATTCCAGGATTTGGGAATTCCAGGATTTGGGAATTCCGGGATTTGGGAATGCTGGGATTTGGGAATGGTGGGAATGGGAATACTGGGATTTGGGAATTCTGGGAGTGGGAATAGTGGGAATGGGAATTCCGGGATTTGGGAATGGTGGGAATGGGAATACTGGGATTCGTGGGATTCAGGAATTCCCGGATTTTGGAATGGCCAGAGTGAGAATTCCCAGATTTCAGAATTCCGGGATTTGGGAATGGTGGGAATGGGAATTCCGGGAATGGGAATTGCAGGATTTGGGAATTCCTGGATTTGGGAATGCTGGGAGAGGGAATTCTGGGATTCAGGAATTTTGGGAATGGGAACGGTGGGAATGAGAATTCCTGGATTTGGGAATTCCTGGGATTTGGGAATGGTGGGAGAGGGAATTTTGGGATTCGGGAATTCCAGGAATGGGAATTGTGGGATTTGGGAATTCCTGGATTTGGGAATGGTGGGAATGGGAATTCCGGGATTTGGGAATTCCTGGATTTTGGAATTCCCAGATTTGGGAATGCTGGGAATGGGAATTCCGGGATTTGGGAATTCCAGGAATGGGAATTCCTGGGATTTGGGAATGCTGGAATTTGGGAATTCCGGGATTTGGGAATGCTGGGAATGGGAATTCCAGGATTTGAGAATGCTGGGAATGGGAATTGCAGGATTTGGGAATGTTGGGATTCAGGAATTCTGGGATTTGGGAATGTTGGGATTCAGGAATTCCGGGATTCGGGAATTGGGGATATTTGGATCAGGTTATTTGGAACAGCATTGGGAATTTTGGGAATGCAATCCCTCAGGATTGGGAATTTTAACCCTAAACCCCCCCTGGATTCGGGAATTCCCGGAATTCCTCCTCCTCCCCATCCCCCGTTCCCATTCCCCTTGGAATTCCGGGATTTTCCCGCTCTTTTCCCGCATTTTTCCAGGTGCGTTTGGCCGTGCTGGAAGCCCTGGGCCCCATGAGCTCCTTAATTCCCGAGGAAAAGCTGGAAGAGCAACTCCCAAAAATCCTGCCGGGAATTCTCGGCCTCTACAAGAAACACCCGGAGCCTTTTCCCATCTCCAAGGTCTGGGAATTCTTCCCCAAATTTTGGGGCTTTGCCGGGATTTTTCCTGGATTTTTCTTGGAATTTTCAGTGATTTTTAAAGGAATTTTTGGGGAT